CTGTTATGCTATAAACGTTCACAAAATGGACCATATATGAGTTTCATTGTGTTCATATTCATGATAATTATTGATTGTGAAAGTGTTGCTCAATATGAGCTCTTTAGCAATATCATGTTTAGTGAATTGATAAAGTCAAGATGCCGCCAACATTTCAAATTTATTTTGATCGATACTCATTGTGATAATGTCTATGTGGACACCATTGTGATGGTTTGGTAGAATTGCAGGTCTTGATTTTCCGTCCACGAGACTGCAGTTATTTAAAGTTATCAAAAAACAACTGTGCGTGATAAGTGTTACAATTAGTTAAAGTACAAGATTTATTTGCTTTTTATTTAGCTACTATGACAAACTAGTACTGCACCTAGGCATGGACCGGGCCCAGGCCGGTTCAAGCCGGGCTTTTTTTCCAGGATGTTGGGCCCGGAACCGGCCCGGGTTGATACCGGGTCCGGGCCCGGTTCAAGGTAAATTTTTTTTGGCTTTGTAATTAATCCCCGACCCCCTCCCTCAGCCCCAACCCCCCCAAAACAACCAGCCCTACCCAAGGAAAAGAAAAAAATTGAAAAAAATGAATTGGACCTGGCTCGGACCGCCTGGGCCGGTTCATGAAAATCAAGGCCCAAACCGGCCCGCCCAAACTGGTCATCCGGGCTTGGTCCGGTCCGGGCCCGCACAGTAGCGGGCTGGTCCGGTTCCCGGGCCGGTTCGAACCGGTTGGGTCCATCCCTAACTGCGCCCGTGCGTTGGACGGTGTGTGAGTTTATGGATGAATAAAATCACTGTCTTCAATAAAATTTAATTGGTTATAAAGTTAAATATCATACATTGCGCAACGCCGCAACAAAGAACAAAAAGTGTAATACGTAAGTTTGCTATAATATGTAAAGTGATTATGATACACTGTGAAACCATTACAAATTTTGAAACACTTCTTTATGGTCTGTGGACAACATTAATTGTCTCATCCTTTGGGCAACCATCTTCATTAAGAATGAGGATTTTGAGACTTGCACGATTGGTAACTCTGACACAACTACATATAATTGTCCATGGTTGAAAACATGTTTTTCAATAGGAGACTGACGTGAGTGAGCGATTGACCTTGAATTTTATTGATGGTCATTGCACAAGAAACCATAGTAGAGAATTGTCTCCTTCGAAATTTAAATGGTAATCTAACATCATACGGGGTCAAAGACAGTCACGATATTAATACGCTTTGTCCTACGCAAATACCATTCAGAACCCTACCATCTAAGATGTGATCACGCACCTTTGTTATGATGAGCCGTGTCCCGTTACACAAACCCAATGCGTTATTTATATTACGCAGAAGCATGACTGGAGTGTCAACTTTCAAAGTCAACTTGTGATTTGGCACTCCAGAGAGTTTATACTGTTCAAGAATTCTGGAGTGTGCAATTTTGTTTTACGATCATGGGTTGAATTAGATTTGCAAACACTGTCTGAGTTAAGGTATGTTCTGCAATCTTTCTTGGAATTTAAACCTATCATATAAACGTTGACCGAATCAACGACCTCAAGGGTTGGAGCAAGAATAACTCTCTCTCAAGTAATTCAAATTCGGTACTTGATTTTAGATAATCGGGATAAATAATCTCGACTGTCTTAGCAATGGGATCTCCAGACTACTTGATAAGGATGTCATCAGGAATTTGAATAGACGCATAACAGTCATTAGATTCACCAGCAATACCATCACATATGCTTGCAATCCAATCAGAAAAAAGGTTCAAGTCATACAATTCCGTAGGGCTATTGACATTTTGCAGCCCCATGTTCTTAGTTAACCTAAGAGTAGTGCATTCCCCCCATAGATAAGATGAATTTATTGTAGCATTAACAATATCTTGCCTACTTCCTTGCGGAATAACAAGTAGCACTTGTCGAAAGTTTGCTGCCAACACTATTGTCTTACCATAAAATGGCAACTTTAGACTATCTGGGTTGGTGAATCTAAGAACGTCACGCATACTTTTATCCAATGCCTCAAAACAATATTTGTGTAGCATTGGAGCTTCATCTCAAATTATCAATTTACATTTAGTAATAGGATGGCGAGCGGACTACCTTGCTTTATATTGCAAATACGAATCATCATTTCATTTCATCATCATTTACCCTAGTGCCGCAAAGGCTCCCATCTACGGTGGAGTAAGGGGGGTCGGATGTACGCAGTCTTACCCCTGTCGTAAAGCACAGAGAGACCGTTTTCGGATGACCCATAGTGAAAATCGTGTCCAAAATTGCATGGACTGACTACTGCTTCATAACAAAGAAGCGCAGACAATTTAGTGAGTCATTTTGCTTTATTCCATCATATTCTCAAGCAAAAAAATAGTGAATCTTTGGCTCCATTGCAAATGATGGAAACATATTGCAAATACAAATAAGAATACTAAATTTGATTCGAATTGTTATCATATACAAATACAAATATTTGTATATTCGATTCGAATGTTGATCAAATATATTCGATTAATAAATGTGATAATATTAATAATAATAGTAGTAACACTATAATAACTTTTAAAAGACGATTATACCCTCAAAGTGTAGCCCATGTGTACATTTACATATACACATTTCAAGTCAATTTGTAATAGATTAGAAGTATCACAAGGAGCAAGGGTTGTAAATGAAACAAATAATTTTAATTCGATTCGTGATTTGGATTCATAAATTGTGATTTTAGTTTGAAAATATAGAATATAAATACGAATACAATTCATATTTTTGGTTCAATACATATTTCAAATACAAATTCAAGTAATTATGTACTTGATTCGAAGAATAATCAAATATATATTTGTTTGTACATAAACAAAATCAACTATCTAGTATGTGTGTGTGCATCAACTACGTACCCAATATATGTGCACGTAGTATAAACTATATATCTAATTGCGTTTTTTAATATGTGTGTGATAGTGTTTGTTTCAAAAACATTGGAACATATTTATGTATAGTAATCATAAAATTGATTCACTTTAGTATATTGTCCATGATCTAAAAATGCATCAAACCACTAAATTTTAAAGAAAAATGTAGTGTTACAAATTAAATATAATTCTAAAAACACATATTAAGTCACAATATGCATTTATAACATACATAGTAAGAAATATAGGAGAAGTTGTTTTAAAGTGACATTTGACTAGTATTTAACTAATTATCAAATCGACTTGACGTTCGTATATGATACGTTAACTATTGATATTGTTAAAAAAATACGAATACAAATCGAAATTAATATTCGTTTCATATTCTAATTCGGATTCGTATTCGAAAAAATCAAACAAAATATCTTCCACATCTCAATAACGTGTGTACTCAATCATGTCGAATCAAAAGCAAAAACTTCTCACTTCAAATCTTTGACGACTTAAATTAAAAATGGGTGAAATTTGAATTTAAATTATTAAGATTTTTGGAATTTGATGGGTTAGTCTTATCATGTAAATTTGAAAATTTTACATGGAGTATAACGAGGATAACATTAAACGGTGAATGTGATACAATGATAAATTTTAAAAAGTTTATTTAGATTATTACTTATCATTCATAATCATAAGCCGAGTATAATTAACAAACAATTGTGATATTTATGAAGATTCGTATTAGTTTGTTCTTAAATAAGATTCAAATAAATTGAAATAGGCGTATTAAATGGTGAAAATGACTCGCCTAAAAATATAGTATATGTTGTTAAAGAAATTTTATCAATTGAAAGATAAACGAATCATTAATTCGAGACTTGAAAAATGAGAAGACCCGATATAAAATGTGTCGGTATAGGACATGAATAGCTAAAAACTATCAATATATATCAAACTATTATAGAACTATAGATCAAATTACATAAGATCAGAAAAATTAGAGTTTTAAAAACATCATTAGTGGTGTTAGACAATATTTGTTTGTTCCTCCTTCATCCCATTGAACTTGACCAAATTTCATTACTACTAGAGTACTACCGAAGAAAGTCTAAAACAACTTTGTCCTTTTCCTTTAAATTTAATATATTGTGTTTACAAAAACAATAAATAAAGTTGTGATTTTAGTTACTTTTAAATAACTTCTAAATAGTACTCCCTCCATCCCAGTTAAATGTTGATGTTTACTTTTGACACGGTACTTTAGGAGACCAATTAATAGAAGAACAAATGTACGTCTTTCGTACCATTTGACTCTTGGGTGAATAATGAAGGATAGTTACGAAAATTAATGTAAAAGAAGTTACCAAAATGGAAACGTAAAAATTTAATGGAAGGTCCCAAAAAAGAAAATATAAAGATTTAAATGGGACATAGGGAGTATCAGACAACAATTAGACATGCATTACTTTATGACGTAAAGTATTGAGCAATGAAAATGCAACATTAAAAGAATGAGAATGACAAAAATGTGCATGTTGCATTGAGTTTGTGAACATACCAAAAGTGTTGTTTTAAAAAAGTATTCATGTTTGAGTAGAATTTCATTTTGCTACAAATTTGACCTTCAGTATAATAATAAGCATTTTGTAGAATTAATATTTCATTTCTTTTTATATATGTACCACTCCATATTATAATATTTGGTTGTATCCTAACTCATACGAAGTATATTTTTCATAATTTGTTGTCAATATACTTTAATTCTTCCCAATTTCTATAATCTTTTGATATGCGTTATCTTTTTTTTTTACTATGTTAGTGCATTCTATTTGTTTTGAAACTATTAATACTCCATTATTTTACAATCAATAATATATAAATTTTACTAAATTTTGTTCCGTGCATCATATGAATGAGTGAATCTAATTCTCCTGAGTTCAAAGTTTTCAAAATTTAAACTCTTGAATATTATCACATTGACACTTTTAATTCTTTAATTATTTTTTTTTTGGATAAAATGTAAATATATTATTACCCAAAGTAAAGTTTACAAAATTTAAAGCTCCCCCCCCCCCCCCACCCCCTCCTGTGACAGGAGAGGGTTGGAAGGAGCTTTCACTTCAAAACGGACATCACCAAAGATAGCCATAAGGCTCACCTATGCCGCGGCATAAGAAATCAAAAAGAAACAAAATAGGACTGCGCCTTAGTACACGCACTTAGCCTATCAAAACCGAGGCTATACAAACGGCTTCCATCGTTCTTATCAAAATGTGATCAACTCATGTGGGTATATGTTGTAGAGTATCTTATACACCACATGTTTGACCTTAGCAACAACCTCTTCCTCCTTCTTCATCTTTCCATCAAATCTGCACTCATTCCTAGCATGCCAAATGTAGTATACCGTTGCACAGAAAGCAATGCGGGCTGCTTTGGCCTTCAACGTTGATCCTTTATGGGTCTTCTTGATCCATTTGATTGAACTCAGCAAGGTAGACATCTCATGTCTTAATCCCATCCAGCTTCTTACGTGATCCCACACCCTACAAGTAAAGGGGCAAAGAAAGAAAAGGTGTGGTATTGTTTCCAAACCACCTTTACATAGATCACACCGGTTCACGATATAAAGATACCCGAGGCTATCTTGTGTAGGTAGTCGGTTTCTTAGGGCCAGCCATGCATTAAATGAGAGTTTGGGGGGAATGTAGGATTTCCATATGAAACTCATAGGAGTCCTAGCTTCTCCCTTGACCCTTAGGAGATCGTAAACTTTTGAGGAGGCTAATTTACCATTTGAGGCTCTCGAGGCAAGGCCCATGATAGTGTCATTGAGATTATTGAAGCACCCTCGGATCTTATCACGGATGAGACTCAACCGCTTCATGAGTTGTGAGTCCCGGGTGTGTGGGATAAAATCCCACACGGTTCTACCTTGAAGGTATACACCGTTCACCCATTTGACCCAAAGGGTGTCCTTCTTCATATGGACATCCCATAAAGTACGAGAGAGGAGGGCATGATTCCATACCTTAGCATTATGAATGCCAAGTCCTCCTTCCTCTTTTGGGAGACAAATGTCTTCCCAAGCTACTTTCGAAAACTTACCACCCCATAAGAATATTCGACAGATCGATACTATCCTATCCAAAATAGTTTGGGGAATCGGGAAAACTTGGAGCCAAAACGACTGGACCCCTTGGATCACAGATCGTATTAGCTCTAGTTTACCGGCATAGGAGATCGTCTTTGTGTTCCATGCGTTTAGAAAATCGTTTATCGTATCAAGAAGGGGGGCATATTGTGCCACAGAGATTCTTAGCGGTGCTAGTGGGATTCCAAGGTATCTCACCGGGAATACTCCACGACCATAATCAACGAGGTCCAAAATGTTTTGTAAGTCCAGCCCATTAACCCCTCCCACGAAAATATTGGATTTATTATGGTTAACCCTAAGGCCTGAGACTTCTCCAAACTCTTTAAGAGCATCGACCAATACTCCAATGGAATATTTGTCTCCTCTCGAGAAGAGCATGAGATCATCCGCATAGGCCAAGTGAGTTATTCCCAACGAGCCACATAGCGGGTGGTGATTAAACCTCGAGTCCATGCTTTTGATGGTAAGGAGGCGCGAGAAATATTCAAGGCATACAACGAAGAGCAAAGGGGACATTGGATCCCCTTGCCTAATGCCACGCTTACCATTAAAGAAACCATGTAATGTACCATTCAAAGAGACAGAAAAAGAAGCGGTAGAAACACACTCCATAATCCATCCCACAAATCTATCGGGGTAGCCCAAACCCCTAAGTACATTGGCAAGAAAGTCCCACGAGATAGTATCATAGGCCTTTCGCAAATCCACCATTATCATACAACGAGGTGAAATTCGCTTCCTATTGTATCCTCTAACAAGTTCCTGGGCAAGGAAAATGTTATCAAACATTAGGCGACCATCCACAAATGCACCTTGTGCCTTGTTAATCAAACCCGCGAGGGTCGGGATCATTCTTGCCGCAATAATTTTTGTAATAATCTTGTAAAGCACATTAGTACATGATATAGGCCTATAATCCGAGACCTTAGGGGAGTGACTAGTTTTAGGAATCAGTGCTATAACAGTATGATTTAACGGTTTAAGCAGCCTTCCCGAGTTAAAGAACTCCTTAGTCGACCGGATCACATCCTCCCCCACAATATTCCAATTTTTCTTAAAAAATGCCGAGGAATAACCGTCCGGCCCCGGTGCCTTGTCATCCCCGATATCAAACAAAGCATCTTTAATTTCTTTGCTAGTTATCGGAGATAATAGGCTATCATGAACACTTGGTTCAATCAATGGGCCGGTTCCTAGTACCGTTTGGTCAATGGAAAAGGTTTCCATCTCGGTGCCAAAAAGATCAACACAAAATTTTACAAATTCATTTCCAACATGATCAATGGACGTACCGAGGTTACCATCATCCATCGTAATGGAGGTTATGGTATTCCTAGCCATGTTCCTCTTGACGATTGCGTGGAAGTATTTTGTTCCCTTATCGGCCTCAAGGATATGCTTAGCTTTAGCTCGTTGTTGGAAGAAGCTACACTCGGCCTCACCAAGGAAAGTAGCTCTCTTTCTCGCCACCTTTACTCGCTCTTTAAGCTCGGCATCATCGGGTGAGTCAATCATCAACTTGTTTAGCCTTTTGAATTCATCTTTTGCACTCTTTGTCTTCATAGAGATGTGGCCAAATTCCAATTCGTTAAGATTCTTAAGCGGCTGTTTTAGCAACTTAAGTTTCTTAGCAATTTGAAATTGAGCCGTTCCATTGATATTCACATTCCAACTCTGCATAAGTATGTTAGTGAAAGCATCGTGTTGAATCCACATGTTAAAAAATTTAAAAGATTTGGGCCTAAGAGAGGTATTATTGAGTATAGATATCACGGTAGCCGTGTGATCAAACTCAACCTCCATTTCATCGAAATGGGCCTTACACTTGATCCCTAGGTGATCCCATGTATTATTGAGCAAAACCCGATCAAGCTTAGCCCACAAAGATCCCTTATTCCAAGTATAGAATTCTCCCGTGGAGGGGGCATCTTGGAGGCTAGCACGGATTTTAAACTCAATCAAATCTCTCAAAAAATAGTCCGAGGGTGCATTCGAACCCACCCTCTCACTAGGAGAACAAACACAATTAAAATCACCGGCTATAATCCACGGGTCTTTGATTTGATCCCCAAGAAGAGCCAAGTATTCCCACAATGCCTTGCGCCTCAAGACTGTATAAAGTGAGTATACAAAGGTAGCAAAGAAAACAGTTTGCGAAGTGCGGCATAGACATTTAAAATGCATATATTGTTCCCCCATTTCAATCAAATTGCATGATATTAAATTAGGATTCCAACACACTAAAATTCGCCCCCATCAATAAAATCATGGTTTGTTTCAAAAGACCAACCGGGCCATTTATTAGAGACAAAATTAAAAGTATTTATTTTTGTCATTTTGGTTTCTAAAAAACAACATAAACTTGCTTGGTGAAATTTAACTAAATTTAAAATAGTAGAGTGTTTGGAGGGTTTTTTCAAACCTCTCACATTCCATACTATTGCTTTAAAATTCATCCGAGACCGATTCGTTGGAGGATTGGCAGCCCTCCTTATTCGCCCCTTCCTTCATTTTTTTGATTGCTTCAAATCTCCTCATTGCCTCCTTGAAATACTTCTTGTTTTCCCTAGTTGTTACATCAAAGAAAGAAGCCACATAAGTATAAAAAATGCTATGATTAAATTTATACCATTCATAATGTGGAGTCACTCCCGGAAGCTTTCGAAGGCATTCATCCGTGAATGAGATTCCTCCCTCGTCATCCCTCACTTTTTGTAGTTCCGGTCCAAGCCTCTTGATTTGGTGATGCGATGGAATGTTCTTCTTTTGCATTACATATATGGTCTTTTTTTTGTTATCATCATAAACGATTCTAGTGACCACATCTCCCTCTTGGATATCATATACATTGCGGATGATCTCACCCCCCAATTCATCAAAGCTAATGTTCCCACTTTTCGGAAAATTGATAGTCTTTTCACTTGATTTGCTCCCGGAAGATGCCTTTGAAGTCTCGGCAGTTTGTTTAGGAACGGTGAGCCTCGGTGCAACTTTTACTGCCTCGGCAGTTTGTTTTTGGGCACTGGCAACCTGTTTTGGGGCCTGGGCAGCCTGTTTTGGGGCCTGGGCAGCCTGTTTTGGGGCCTGGGCAGCCTGTTTTGGGACCTGAGCAGCAGGGGTCGTGGCCTTAGGTGTAGAAGTTGAGGCCGCGGCATTAGTTGTAGGCACCTTAGAAGTAGGAACCTTTGGCGTGATCAAGTTGCGCACATTTGCTTTGGATTTAGAGACCCATTTCTTTTTCTTCTTGGCCTCCACCCACTCCCCATTCTCTTGCACATCATTCTTTTTCTTTTCAACCCAATTTTCCTTCCCTTTGCCATCATCCTTTGATTTCTTCCCACTCACGTTGAAGCCTTTTTTTCCCTTCGGAATGTCACCGGGTTGGTTGGAACCCCCTTCTTTTGAGTTGTTAGCCGCGGTATTGGCTACACTTACAATTTTGTTGGTAGCTTTTGCATCCTCATTCTCTACCAACTCCTTGTTTAACACTTTGCATGTGAAGGGGTGATGTCCAAAAACCTTGCACTCAAAACAATAGTTAGGAAAAGTTTCATATATGACATATTGATTCCTTTCCTTACCGGATGGTTGTATAATCGGGATGGACATAGTAGGTGGCCTAGAGAGGTCAACCTCCACCAATACCCTAGCGAATTGAGACCTCGATTTTTCTTGAGTCACCTTGTCCGCCACAATAGGAACTCCAACTCTAGAGGCAAGCTCGCTCATCTCTTGCTTGTTCCAAAGTGTAACCGATAGGCCGGGGAATTTAATCCATATTGGGACTTTTAAAAATTCCTCACCATCAAAGTCAAAGTCCTCGGATAATATCCTTAGGAACACGGCCTTACCATAAAGGGCATAGGGCCCTTCGGCCATGACTTTGTTACAATCATTCTCACTTTGAAATTGGAAAATTACCCACCCTTTGTCATGTTGCTTGAGCTTGCATGGGACTCCCCATTTGATGGATAGATCATGGAATGCTCGCATGCCCGGGAATCTACCTGAAACAAACCCCACCAAGCAATACCCCCAAATATCAATAATAGTAGGGAGTTTTCTATGAGAGAAATCTACCTTTTCACCTTTTGGAGGAATATACTCCAACTTCATGCCATGTTCAATGGACCGGTTGTTTTGGAATAATTGATTCCAAGCATTCTTCTTTGGCTCTTCCTTCTTTTCTTTATTTCCAACTTCAAAAAGGGAATCAACACTCCCCGTTTCCACATCATCCTCATCTTCCACAAGGCCATCAATTCTTGCATTCTCCTCACGTTGCTCCTCTTGAATTTGCTTGAAGGAGAATTCAATGGAGCCTACTTTGATAGACGCGGGCTCCACCGGTTTAGACACCCACGAGGAAGAATCTTCCACCATAGCTTTGAGGGAGACATCCTCCATAACTTGTGGCTCCTTAGTAGCATTAGCCTTATGTAAATTGATCTCCTTTGTTGTAGGTGTATCTTGCATCGTTAGCTTAGGAGCAATTTTGTCTTTCTTGGATGTTACTTCCTTCTCTTTATTTTCCACTTCTTTTTTGTTGGCCTCCATCTCGGCTTTTCTTGCATTCAACTTCCTTATTTTGTCATCAAAGGCCGAGTCTTTAGATGGCGGTGTTCGAGATTGTTTATTGTGCCTAGTCATTGGACCATACACATCTCTTGTACGAGAGCTTGGCTAATTGACCTGCAAGGGTTAGTACAAACAAAGGCAAGTACCAAAGACTTGGGGGTGCAAGAGCTTGGTTCGTACCTTAGGCAAAGTGTGCTAGCAAATTCTCCAAAATGCTTTAGGAAGTATCTCAAAGTATATTAACCCCCTAGGTATGTCGAGTTGCACCAACGGAGAAGCACAAAAAGCAAGGGGACAATCCTAATTCATTCGTGCACTGTAGCAAGCAGTGAGTTCCGAGAATTTTGGAAGTATTCCAAAAATTCCCAAACAATTCTTGGAGGTCTTCCTTAGTATTTTGAACAACCTGGTAGTGTTAGGACAAACAAAATACAAGCAGCAAGTGCACTTCCTTTGAAAAGGCAGTACAATAAAGTCCAAGGAAACAACAATTGATATTTCTCAAGTTGTAGCCCAAAGTGAAGTAAACCCCCAGGAATATTCAGTTGTAGCACTGGAGTAGCACAGAAGTCAGGAAAAAATCCTAACCAGTTCTGGCTACTGTAGCAAGCAGAATGTTCGAAAAATTGGGAGTGATCCAAAAATTCTCAAAAAAATTCAGGAAGTACCCTTCAATATGCTTAACAACCTGGTAAGAATAGTTCCAGCAAAACACACAGCACGTTTCCCAGAAAAAAGTATTAACTAGTGAAACACTTCCAAAAAAAACCTGGAATTTTGGAATAGGCCCAAAAAATCTCCAAATATTCTGGAAAATACCACAAAGTATGTTGGTCAACCTGTTATGGTTAGTTTTCACAATAGGTTCGCCCTTTTATTTCACCTGTTTCAGCCTGTGGGTTCCTCACAAACTTCATTTATCGAGTTGCTACAGCAGAAGATAGATGGCATACTTCAAAAGCGGGATTTATAAATTGCTTCGGCACAAAATAAGAAACGCAAAGCAGCTGGCTGGAAGGATAGATGAGAGAAGAAGAGAGGCTAGAAGAGTACTCGCTCGCATCAGAGTATTGATAGATATCATATTTCCTCGGCGAAAAGTCCTTCATTACCCCTTTTCACTTACCTGCACCAGCAATTTATAGTTACAGAATATTTTGAGCAAGGTAAACACTTTTCAGACAAGCTGGAGAAGATGTACAGTACCCACAAAGTTGGAGCTCCCCAGAAATTTCTGGAAAAATTCCCAAATACTCCTCAAGTATCAGCGAACTCAACAAAACAAACCGCTTACCAAACGGACAAGCACAGACCTCAGAAGAAATTCGAACAGTAACAGGACCTGCGAATAGCTACAGTACCCAAAAATTGGGGGAATATTGAAAACTTACTCAAATCTGATGAAACAGGTGCCAATAGGTTCGTCAAGTCCAGATGGTTCCAATTCTAGCTTCAGAAACGAGATTGAACAGCAGAAATTGAAGGAATCTGAGGTCAACGGTCTGTCGTGAACAGTGCTGCACCTCAACGGATCTTTCTGGACTCCGGTACGGCGGCGTTCTGGTGGTCGGAAAAGAGGTCCTGGAGGTTCGCCAGAGGCTGGCGACCCCCAAGCTATCTTCTTCTTCCACAAACAACCGTCGAGTTGCTGGATTCAACCAAAGTTTCTAAATCGGGAAAGTACAGTAAACAAACGACCTGGGGCTTCAAAAAAACGGCGATTCTCACTCCAGAAAACAATATCTTTCAAAACCAATCGGTAGGGATGAAAGATTTGTAGTTTCCGAGCTGTAGAATCGCAGATTTGGGAGGTTTAATTCGTTAAAGTAGTTCGTGGGAGAGCAGGGGAGTAACGAGCCAGCTAAAAAAATTCGCCGAAGCGTAACTTTTTTAGAGAGAAGGACGAGCGTTTCTCTACGCGTTTTTTAATTCTTTAATTATGATTTTGATACAAAGCTAAAAACAAGAAATGTAGCTTATAAAATCTTAATTGTTTCCGTTTTAGCGCGTTCTTGACTTTCCAATACAGGCGCATTTACCAGAGGCACAGACGCACTAAGCGGGTCTGTTTGTGGACGTTGAGTTGAAATGGGCGGCGTAGGAAGACCGGAGGTGGTTAGCAGCAAAGGGTGTTCAAGGGCGTCTGTCGACATCTCTTCTTCATCCAGGGGACTGCAATCTCATCCTTTAAAGCCACAGTTGACCATGCATCCGTCTTCTGCTAGCACTGATGTAATAGAATCTAGGGAAGAAGCTAGCTCAGTTGGCCCACTTTCTGGGCTTATCATCTGCGTAACGGGATTGTCAAAAGGTATATTAGAATGCTGCATATGGTCTGCGTTGATAAACCAAGAGAAATTGCGCTATTGAAATTTGTTCCTCATGAATTATGATGATTTGGCACTTTCCATTCTGGTTTTCTAGTTATCTGCTTCTTCAGTATCAAGTTTGATTATTTAATGCTTAATTCTATGGTGTAACGAATAAATGGTTTATTGATGTTATGACTTATGACTCTGCTTAAATGTTGGTTGGCAGAAGCCAGGATGCAAGTGATGAAAGCAACAGAGGAGTTGGGTGGGAAATATAGCCCACATTTGCATTCTCAGTGTACCCATTTGGTGGTTCAAATATCCTTTCCTTCCCCAATTTTGCAATTCCCTTTTCTGGGTGCGAAATTCGTTAGGCATTTTGATTTCCCTGTTAAATTTTACAGAGCAATCTTTTCCTTCTCTAGATCTCTTCTTTCGCATACACTCTGTGTGAGTGTATCCTGTTTAGCAATTCTTATAGAATGTTGATTTAATAATCAACAATAAAAGGCAGCTGACTAGCAGTTTGTTACAGGGAGGTCAGTTTATATACTTGGATTGTTTCCACTTCTTGTCCTAGGTGCTTATTTAGTTAACATATTTAGTGCTTGTACTGTCATGGTTCCTTAATGCCTTTTAAAGATTTCATGGCCACAAATTTGAGCATGCCCTGAAACATGGATCCAGAAATGGTCTTTCGATTGTTACCCTGAGTTGGTTTGTGGATTGTGTGAAAAACAATGGTAAGACATTTTGTTTTTCTTGCTTCTTACATATATTTATGAACAAGCGTATTATGCTTCATGCACAAGTCAGTTAACAAAATGTTTGACAAACTGGACACATGGCAGCATCCCTAATTTTCAACACATCATATTCTCGTCAATTGTTTTGACACTACCTCATTTGTCTGCCATCGCTTTTGACATTGAAATAACTGAAATCCTTTTGCAATTTGGTTTTGTTTTCTTTTTGCAGTGATTTTGAGGTTGCCTTTTTAAACCTTGACTGTTTCCGCCATTATTTGATGAAAATTTTATGCTGCTTTTATAAACAGAAAGGTTGAGTGAATCTCGTTACAGTGTCAAAGTTGCTGGAGAAGGTGTTTCTTTGGATGTTTTCAACCGACTTATCGAGAAGGATGACATTCAGGCTTCTTGTATTCCTTTGGGAACATTTGAGCGTCTTAGGAAGTCAGACGTGATTGAAGAGCCACAACCAAATATTTTAGAAAGAGAATATGTGAAAAGAACGATAAGATCTCCTTTGTCTGGTTATTCATTGTATGTAGATATTGGTGTGTCTGATGAACTACGTAGCAAGGTATATTTGTAGTCAATGATGCTTAGAGATTCAGGTTCTATTCTTTTGGGATTGAATTTCAAAATTTTCCTATATTTTTGTTTTTAGATCAAATACTCCGTATATTTTTTGTTTTTAGATCTATTTGCTTTTAACATCTCTAACTTTTCAGTTACTTCATCCTAGGTGCATTTTTTTATTTTATAAGTCACAATTTGTTAAAAGTTATTAAAATGCATGCAGACTCATCTTACTCCATTCGGTGCTACACTTAGGTTGTCGAGGCTGCTTCTGCGCAAGGGGCTGCTTTGGTAGATCAGTGGTTTGTCGGTTGTGGTGCCACTCACATAGTCTGTGAAGGAAATTCTATTCATAAATATCTTGGTCATTCTGCAAATATTGTTACTGTAAGTGCCTTCCTTCTGTTCCATTTTATACATTTAATATGGACTGCAAAATATCTCTTTCTGCTTCAGCCATTATGGATTCTGAAGACCGTAAAGGAAAAGCAACCGCAAAGGCTTGTTCACATATCAGCTGATCTAGCTAAGCAAACTGGAACATTGATGGAGGATATTCAATCTGGCATTCATAAAGAGGTATGCTTTTTTTGTTTACTCATATTCTATTTACTCTTTTTTCTCTGAAGATATCCCTACACATACTGTTCTTTCATTGTAAAAGAGTAGGTGTTTGGTTTGTGAAGTTTACTTTTGAAAGGCCTATCAAAAGCATTAAGCATTGAGAGGTATTCATCTCATTGGCAATCCCACGGCCTATGGGTCAGGTTTTCTAATATGTTGCAAGAAAAGTAGTCAAAGGGGATAGGTTTGATACAATGTTGAAAGAGAGAAAACAATGTAGGAAAGAAGATGGTATCTTTTTCACATAAAAATAAATTAGTATTACTTGTATATACACTTATACAGTTTATGCACACATATAGCAGATTAGCATTTAGCAGTAATTCAGTATATCACCCAACCTAGAGTTTAGTGATGTCCCTTTCTTTAATGATGACATGTATCTTTGATAGGAATATAGACAATAATACTAATAAGAATATTATAATAGTATTAAAGAGTGTAATAGTGTATAAGTGAAGATTCTGGGCCATTTAGTAAATCAGAAATAATGGGCCAGTCCTTAAAGAAATAAAAGTACTATAAATACAAAGGAAGGGGAAAAGGAGAAGGTAGGCAAGTACTTTGGGACTTGGATAGGCTAGGAGACTGGGCATCTCGAATTGTCCGTTGTATTCATTCCGTAAACACATCGTTCATCAATAAACATTTTCTTCATCTCTTCTTGATCAATTTCTTAGTGATTCTCTACAATTCTAAGTCAGAATTATCTGGTTCTATCATTGGTATCAGAGCATTACGCTCCTGGTGGTTACAGAATTGATCGGAGAAGTACAGAAATCCAGAATATTTTTTTTTCGTTCGAAGGTGGAGGGTTCGAACGAGAGGCAAAATGGATCATCGACTGGAATCGTTGGAGCGACATCAGCAGGAGATGCATTCTGCGCTGGATGCTCTCACAGCAAAAATGGATGCGATGGCAGAACACTTTCAGAACCGAGGGAGATCGCGGACGACAACAACTTCTTTCAGTTCTCAATCTTCGTCGATAGCAGTTTCCCAAAGTTCATCATCGCAATCCGTTTCTCACAGCCGTCCGCAGAGGTCTTCGCAATCCTCGTAGTTTTTCAGTTCGCAGATGCGAACCCATTCTCCCAGATTGTCGCCAATTGCACAGGTCTATTCTAAATCGCGAGAAACTTCTTCTTCCAGTTCTCAGGGGTCCTCGCTAAGCGCACAAGTTTCATCGCACAATCCCCATCGCACTGTGCATCGCACTTTAAGGGAGATGGAATTACCTTCTTTCAATGGTGATGACGCTTTTAGATGGATGGATAGGATGGAACGATATTTCTGTTTCTATGCTATTACAGAAAAAGATAAGGTTGAAGTTGCAGCTGAGGCTATGGAAGAAAGGGCGTTTCACTGGTTTCAATGGTGGGAGATTAAAATGAGAGACAATAGTTGGGAGGCTATGAAGGAAGCCATAACACGGCGTTTCCAACCTACAGGCATGCGGAAGACAGAAAGCCAGGAATCCTCGCCAAGAACTACTCTCAGTTCGCAATCTTCTACGCGAAATACTGTTTTTCATTACAGTTCATCATCACAAGTTGAATTCCTCATCCATTCACAGAAATCTTTGCGGTCAGCATCGTTTGTCGTTCCTACTTCAAAGACACTTTCATATGCGAGTTATTCACAGCAGAATTTAAAGCAATCGAGAGAGGAATACTCATGTTCGCAAGTGCTATCACCAGCTGTTTCTCAACCTGCACAAGACTATCCCCAGTTGACAAAGAATACCCAGTTGAAGTCCGCTGATCTTGTAATCAAGAAACTGACGGAAGACAAAAACGAGGAGCAATCTACAGTAGCTGGAGGACCTGAAGCTGGTACAGTTGATGGATTCCTCAATCATTCACAGGTATCATCTATTTCAGGAGCCAGAAATTTAGTTGACTCAAGAATGGGATTGCAGGGCACTCCATTGTTGGCAAAGAACATTGAGTTGAAATTGGATGCATCTTCAGGTTTGAAACTGGATACGAATTGTGGTATTAAGCAATACATGGGGCATGCACAAGAATATCTAGAAGGAGGACATGAACTGAAATCTCTTAAATCAGGATCTCACTCAATTTCACGTGAGAAGTTTGTTCAAAGTGGAAATGGGGATAGGAACAATGCAGAAATGGGTGTAAGAAGTATTATCTTTGACAATGTAACTCCAGGGAGTTTTCATCTCGAGTTTCTGCTCCTGTTGGCTGTGAAAGAAGTAAAGATGAAAGATCAAATAACGAAGATCATGGCCAAGCAATCTGGGAGGTATTGGGAAGGGAGAGGTGCAAGAATAAAGTGGAAGTGGAAGATCATGGCTGATTCCTATCACCCACCTTGAGGACAAGGTGGTTGTTTAGGGGGGGAGTATTGATAGGAATATAGACAATAATACTAATAAGAATATTAGAATAGTATTAAAGAGTGTAATAGTGTATAAGTGAAGATTCTGGGCCATTTAGTAAATCAGAAATAATGGGCCAGCCCTTAAAGAAATAAAAGTACTATAAATACAAAGGAAGGGGAAAAGGAGAAGGTAGGCAAGTATTTTGGGACTTGGATAGGCTAGGAGACTGGGCATCTTGAATTGTCCGTTGTATTCATTCCGTAAACACATCGTTCATCAATAAACATTTTCTTCATCTCTTCTTGATCAATTTCTTAGTGATTCTCTACAATTCTAAGTCAGAATTATCTGGTTCTATCAATCTTATTTTGCTCAACACCTTTAATTACTCCCTCTATCCCATTTTACTTGTTTACCGTTCTTTAGTAAAACCAACATTTTTTTGGATCTTTATTTTCTTTTAGCATTTTGTATACTTTTTTAAATTCGGTTGTTTGGTCACTAATATTATTCATGTAGTTTCTAAATATATACGTTTTACAGTTTACTTACTAATATTCTCTCCATCCCAATTCCCGAAGTACAAGTCCACACTTTGTTTTAAGTGAAAATAGTAAAATTTAGTTCATATTACCGAATTGCCCCTCAAGTTAAGAGTGTTAGACTAATCTGTCATATGACTCATATCATCATTTTTAAAAAGTAGAGACGAGGGTGAATTAACAAAAGTGAGATAACCCTATGATGATGACGGTTTAAATATATTATCTCATTCTTTTTTCTGTAGAACAGTAGAAGGCTGTGGCAATAAAGGCACAGTGTAAAACTCTGCCACAGCTTTTTGCATGAATTTTTGAATTTATAATGTTAAATTTGGGCAATTAACTGACAGTTTGACACTATAAATCTCACGCCACCTTTCCAAACTCCACACCATAATAGTGATTAAGGCAATGACGATGATGATACTAATTAACGCCTTACAAAACCAAACTTTATATAGCATAGTCCTTTTGATCAATTATGGTGATTGTTTAAGCCGTTCAGAATGTAGCAGATTCATTTTCACTACCATGGGTGGCTTTTCTGTTGAATTTGGCAGGCAAAAATCATTTAAATTTGTTTATGGGTTTATTAGGTTCCTAATGTTCTATCTATGCTAGCTTCTGCACACTTGGATTTGTAGCACTTCGTCTTCAGTGTCATGTTTCCATTTTTTTCTCAGCTGCTTTTAGTTTTTGAACATTCCTTCCTAACTGTCATTAGGAAATGAAGATGAATGTGGATTTGCGGGTTGATGCACCAAGTTCTACACCTAGAATAAGTCATGATGTGAGGCAAAAGATAGTGAACCTTGCTAAAGATGGAGTAAGGAAGAGAAGGGGGAAACATGTGCAGGTAGAGATTTACACAATATCTGTGGACCAGACAGTTTTTATGCAGTTTCTAATAGTATCTGTCCTTTTGAAATTAGATGTATTTGTTGTATCTATTTCAATTGCAGACATTTCAAACCCCTATGCGTCCAATAACACCAAGTAGTCTTCTGGATTCGATTTGCTGGTCAATATCTGAGCCAACTTCAACTGCCTCTATATATGTAGATTCTTCTAGTTTTGAAGCCCCTAAACTGCAGAACACATGTTTCTCCTACGACGGTAATGAGGATGTGAAGGAATCTGAATTTTCATTTGTGAACTTATCCCGGCCACTTAAGGAAAGGTTAGAATATTCATCTCAGCCAACCTATTTGTAGACCAACATATCTACTACAGTTTGCGTAGCATATTCTATAGAAGACCTATGGTTTCATTCACCAGACCTAGGGGGGTAAATTTCTTGCTCTTTGTCTTACTTGGGTTCATCTATGTATTCCCATGTATCTTGGTTCAGCTGCAGATGTCTTCTTCTCATTATCCTTCAGTCATGTACGAAGCTTTATGTGTGAGGACTAAGTGATTAGTTATTTCTTTCAGTAAGAGAGAGCTTTGGGGGTGTTAGGATTTAGGGATCTGTAATGAAACCAACTATGTCATGAATCATTAACAAACATGCTTTTATTAAATACAATAAACAAGCCTCAATCCCGAAACATGGGGTTAAACTGCATGAACAAATAGGAAACTCTTTGATGTCATCCACCAATATCCACATTTCTACTCCTTTCTGTCATTCATGTATTACAGAAAATCTGTAATACACGTTATCAACCCTGTAATGTCAATGCTGTTATGTCCTTTTTACTCCTTTGATCCATGTTAATTTTGGCTTACAATGGCTCTTCTTTAAATGTCTAGCATTCAAAAATTCTACTCCATACTGGGAAAGTGGGAAGCCTGCTTCTAGGCATTCAATGTGCCTGAAGCAGTGCAGGACTCTTTTCACTTAAAAGAATGGGATCGGATTTCAAATTTTCAAAATCTGTTTTGAATCTCTCTGGTCTTGTATGACCTGATCGGTAAGTTATAAGACTTGAATAAAAGAGAGTTAAAGGAAGAGAATAATTTTCTGGTTGTGTGTCTGTCCACAACCCTGAACTCCTTTATTTATAATAATGAGTGTACAAGTACATTAATGAGAGTGAGGAGATGAAAGGTCAAAGAAGATGAAAGATCAAAGGAGTCTATTTAGCTACCAATAAATCTTGATAAATCTAACACTCCCCATCAAGCTGGAGCATACAAATTGTATGTACCAAGCTTGGAACAAATAAATTCAATTCGAGGACCTCTCAAAGTCTTTGTCAACACATCTGCAAGTTGATTATTGGACCCAATAAATTCGGTGCTGATTTCTTTAGACATAAGCTTTTCCCGAACAAAATGGCAATCGATCTCTATGTGTTTGGTTCTCTCGTGGAACACCGGATTTGAGGCGATGTGAAGGGCAGCTTGGTTATCACAATACATCTTCATTTGTTGAACCTTACAGAACTTTAACTCTTGAAGAAACTGTTTTACCCATATGAGCTCACAAGTGAGAGACACCACTGCCCTATATTCCGCTTCAGCGGAGGATAGGGCAACTACATTTTGTTTCTTGCTTTTCCAAGAAATAATATTTCCTCCAAGAAAGACACAATATCCTGTAGTGGATCGTCTATCCACAGGAGACCCTGCCCAATCAGATTTGCGTGTTCCCTTTATCTTCATAGAGCAAGCCTTGTCCTGGAGCCTTTTTTATGTATCTCAGGATGCGAACGACAGCGTTCCAATGCTCAGTGTATGGCGCTTGCATAAACTGACTACCAACACCCACTTCAAATGATAGATCCGGTCTAGTGATAGTGAGGTAAATTAGCTTCCCAACCAACCGTCTATACCTCTCTGGATTAGAAAACACCTCTCCCTGTTCTGGCAATAACTTTTGGTTCGGGTCCATAGGACTATCTACGGGCTTACAATCGATCATTCCTGTTTCTTTTAGCATATCAAGAGCATATTTCCTTTGAGAGATTACAACACCTTCTTTTGACTGGGCCACTTCAATACCCAAGAAATATTTGAGACTCCCAAGATCCTTGGTCTGGAAATGACTGCCCAAGTGTTCCTTCAAGCGAGATATTTTTGCAGCATCATTTCCTGTAATAACAATGTCATCCACATACACTATCAAGTAAACACATTTACCAGGAGAAGTGTGGCAATAAAAAACAGAATGATCTGCTTCACTACTGTTGAAATATAAACTAGAATAATATTGAAAAGTGGAGGAAAGATTTTCTGTGTATTTCATTAGTTGTGGAAGTCCCTATAAATATACATTACAAATAGAATATTCCTTTATAAGATTCTATACAATAATAATATCTATGGTATATTCCTAATATATTCTATAGCATATTCTAAAGTATATTCTAATATACTTTCACACTCCCCCTCAAGTTGGAGCATAGATATTTATCATGCCCAACTTGTTACATAAATAACCAACTCGAATTCCATTTAGTGCTTTAGTGAACAAATCTCCAAGTTGTTCCCCGGTCTTCACATATCCTGTAGAGATCAATCCTTTTTGAACCTTCTCTCGAATAAAATGACAATCGACCTCAATATGTTTCGTTCTCTCATGAAACACTGGGTTGTTGGCAATGTGTATAGCAGCTTGGTTGTCACACCACAATTTAGCAGGCATTGGTGTCTTCAATCCAATTTCACTCAATAAATGGTTTATCCAGATTATCTCACATGCCGATTGTGCCATAACACGATATTCTGATTCGGCACTAGATCGAGAAACCACATTCTGCTTCTTACTTTTCCAGGAGATAAGATTACCACCAACAAAGGCGCAATAGCCAGATGTAGATCTTCTATCATCTTTAGATCCAGCCCAATCAGCATCTGCAAAGCATTCTATTCTCATGTGATCATGATTTTGATAAACAATACCTCGTCCTGGTGTCCCCTTCAAGTAACATAATATATGTTCTACAACATTCCAGTGATCAACTGTGGGAGATGACATATACTGACTCACTACACTCACTGAGTATGCAATATCTGGACGGGTAACTGCGAGATAATTAAGTTTCCCAACCAATCTTCTATATCTCTCTGGATCTTCGAATGGCACACCTTCGTGAGTAAGTTGTACATTAGGAATCATAGGAGTATTGCTCGGCTTTGCCCCTAGTTTCCCTGTTTCAGCTAGCAAGTCAAGTACATATTTGCGTTGAGATAAAAATATGTCTTTCTTGCTTCGTGTTACCTCAATACCCAAGAAGTATTTCAATGAGCCTAGATCTTTCGTCTGGAATTGGCTATGAAGAAAATTCTTAAGAGCCAAAATACCTGCAGTATCACTCCCTGTAATCACAATATCATCAACATACACCACAAGCAATGTGATACCTGCTTTCGTTCGTCTATAAAAGATAGAGTGGTCTGATTGACCTTTTATCATGCCAAATCGTTCAATTGATTGACTGAATTTTCCAAACCATGCACGGGGACTTTGTTTCAAACCATAAAGAGATTTGCGAAGTCGACAAACTTTCCCATGCTCCTCCTGAGCAACAAATCCCGGAGGTTGCTCAATATAAACTTCTTCCTGAAGGTCACCATGCAAGAATGCATTTTTAATGTCCAATTGATGTAAGTGCCAATCATGAGTTGCAGCGAGAGAAATAAGTAACCTGACAGATGTTAATTTAGCAACAGGAGAAAAAGTGTCAGAATAATCAACACCATAGGTTTGAGCATAACCCTTCGCAACTAATCGAGCTTTCAACCGAGCAACAGATCCGTCTGGGGTCTAACTTTGTAAGATGAGGATTAACTTCTCTAACAAAGCAAGTGCAACCAAATATTTTAGGTGGGATAGAAAAAAGCTCTTTATTTGGAAATAAGCAGTGATAAGGAGCTTTACCATTTAAAACAGAAGACGGCATACGGTTTATCAAAAAACATGCGGTAGACACGGCATCCGCCCAAAACCGTTTAGGCACATTCATTTGGAATAGAAGAGCCCTTGCAGTTTCTAACAGATGTCGATTCTTTCTTTCAGTGACTCCATTTTGAGGAGGTGTGTCTACACATGAAGTTTGATGAATAATGCCATTTTGAAGCATAAAAGATTTAAATGGAGCATAGAGATATTCTTGGGCATTGTCTCCCCTCAACACACGAACAAGAACATTAAATTGAGTTTTAATTTCAGTACAAAATGCAGAAAAATGAGTAAATAACTCTGGTCGGCGTTTCATAAAGTATAACCAAGTCATACGAGAATAATCATCAACAAATGTAACAAAATAGTTGAAACCAGATTTGGACACAACAGGACATGCCCCCCAAACATCAGTATGAACAAGATCAAACGGAGCGTTTGCTCGTTTATTAAGTCGAGGACTTAAACTAGTATGATGATGTTTTGCAAATTCACACGACTCACATTGTATAGATGACACCTTATTAAACTGAGGATATATTTGCTTCATTAGTGGGAGAGATGGATGTCCTAAACGGTAATGAGCTTCTAATAGATTTCCAACCCCAAGACAAGAGATACCTTTTGTGATTGACGTATCCAAAATATAAAGACCAGCTGACTCATGTCCTTTACCAATAGTCTGCTATGTCAACAGATCCTGAAACACACAATATCCAGGAAAAAATGTTACAGAACAATTAAGAGTACGTGTGATTTTACTGATGGAAAGCAGATTAAATGCAAAATTAGGAAGACTCAAAACAGGTGATAATGGTAATGTAGAAGTTGGGACACCAGTACCGGATCCAAGAACAGGTGAGGTAGATCCATCAGCTAAAGTGACACTAGAAGTAGGTAAATATGAATGAAATGATGAGAATAGACTAGGATTACCAGTCATATGATCTGTGGCACCTGAGTCAATGACCCATTTCGAGGATGAGGAAACAAGACATGTGTTTGAAATACCTGAATTAGCAGCTACCGAAGTAGGGACAGATGAATGCTTTAGTGATTCTTGGTAGCAAATAAATTTGGCATACTCGTCTGAAGAAATAACAATAGTTCCATCGGAGGAATTGGTAGCGGAAGCAACATGAGCAAACTGATTTCCTTGATTTTTGAATAGCAATTTTCTACATTCTTTGATCAAGTGTCCGGGCTTCTTGCATTAATTGCATATTACTCCTCTATCAAATTTACCTGTGCAAAACATAATTCCCCCCTTCTTTTTTTTGTTTTTTTTTGTTTTTGTGTTTTTTTTGAATTTTGTTTTTTTTGTTAACAAA